TCCGACCGGCTTGCTTCAGGCCGTATAGTGACTTCCTAAGTAGACATACTTTATCACCTTTTCCAGTGTGTTTCAAGGTATCTCGAGCCTTCTTTCTGGTAGCCTCGTTGTATTTGAGTTATCACAATAATCTTCAATGATTCATCCAAATATTCGGGGGTTTCCATGTAAATCGTCTCATCTAGACTTCCATTTAAGTATGCCGCAGGTAACATCCAGTTGCTGCATGTCCATATTTAAATGTGCTGCTAGGGCAGGATACAAGTCTTATGGAGCTAAGCCTTGCTACAAGGGCAAAAGTCTCGTTGAAATGTGTTCCGGGCTTTTGGCTAAATCCCCGAGCGACTAGTCTTGCCTTCCTCCTTTCGATAGTTCCATCAGGCTTGTACTTGTTCTCAGGACAATACGGCTTCCAACGATGTGCTGGTTACATGGTCGGTCGATTAATTCCCAAGTACCATTCTTCAAGATAGATGCCACTTCGTCTGCCATCGCCTTGTGCCATTCGTCAGCGTCCTCGCCTCTGACTGCCTGATGCATCGGGACCTCGGACAGTAATACCTCTTCAGAAGAGAGTGCTGAACCTCTCGGGGTGTCCTGTACCTGTATATCTTTCTAGGTCTTCCCCTCGAACCAGTTCGCCGAATTCTGGGTCTCCCGCGGGCACGCCTGGGTGGCTCAGAATCGTGATCAACCTCGGGCTCTTCTTGTTCCGTTGTAGGAGATTCATGTTCTGGATTTTCGTTCTCGACAACTGAGGATAGCTGTACCTCGATAGTATACATCTCTGAGTCATTCTCCTTGGATGATCCTTCAGAATAAAATCTGTCCATTCTTGGCTTATGACTTCTGCGTTTTCCAAGAACTTAACATCCCTCGTGACTACGAATTTATTCTCCTTCGGCAACCAGACCTTGTATCCTTTCGTTTGTTCCGAATACCCTATGAAAATTCCTTCCTTACATCTTGCGTCTAGCTTCCCCTTGGCCTGATCTTGGTTAGACAGAGACCTTGCAACCAAAATCTCTGAGATTCGAAACGTCGGGAGTCTTTCCAGTCCACTTTCGTATGGTGTTAACCGTTCAGACTTTTGGATGGACATCTGTTCCGCAAATAGTTGGCCGTGTTGATGGCTTCAGCCCAAAAGATCGGAGGTAAGCCGGACTGCATGATTAGACAACGTGCTGTATCAAAGAGAGTGGCGGTTCTTCCTCTCCGCTATACCGTTCTGTTCCGGAGTGTATGGGCAAGTCAAGCGACGTGAAATTCCGTGCTTTTTCAGGAGATCCTCCATTTCCTTACATGTGTACTCCGTCCGTTGTCAGATTGGATGCACCTTATCTTTTTGTTCTTTTGGTTTTCGACCAGTGTAATATATTCCTGAGTCTTTCGCACAACTTCATTTTTATGTTTCATGACGAATACCGTGCAATACCTAGAATAATCATCTATGAATTCGACAAAATATTTGTACTTCGAGTGAGATTCTACTCGCATGGGACCGCAAACATCAGTATGTACGATTTCTAGCATTTCCGATTCCCTGTCGGACTTCTTCGGGAATGGTGAACGCGTCATTTTTTCCGCGTATGTAAATTTCGCAATTAAGTTCCCCATTATTAGGCATATGTTCAATATTTTACTCCACCTAATCTTCCTTTCTTCAATGAAGAATTCAAATCCTGAAAGTTCAAATGTCCTAATCTACGATGCCATAGTTTGACATTTTTAGAATTCATGGTCGAAATGAAAGCCTGATTTATTCTGCGCTTCGCCTTCTCTCGCGTAGTATAAATCGCCACTACGATCGGCTACAACTTTTATATCACCATTACTATCATAGATCAAAGCATTTTCTTTCTTGAATAAAACTTCAAATCCTTTATTGGTAATCTTTGCAACAGAAAGTAAGTTTACTCTTAGGTCGGGAACATGAAAAGCTTTATGGAGTGAGATGTTTTTCGTGTCGCCAAAAACGTCAGCAACAAACGTGGCTGTTCCGGAACCTGTAATGTCCGTAAATTCACTATTTGGCTAAATTCAAATGATCATGTCTACGTTCAAGGTCAGAAAAACAACTAATGTCTTTACATAAGTGAGACGTTGCGCCACTGTCTAGACACCATTTCAGTCTTTTGTGATTCTGTTCAACATGATAACATTCCGCGGTAACGAGTCCCACGTTGTCGGAACAGTTCGCTTCACTTTTGTAAGAATTGGCAACAGTCTTACCTTTGTCTGGACATTCAGCGGCCTTGTGGCCTACTTTTCGGCATCTGTGACACTTATACCTGAACGTTCTTCTGCCTTCCGAGACGCCGCTGCCTCGTGCACCTTCCGAGACGCCGCTGCCTCGTATACCTTCCGAGACGCCACTGCCCCGTCCGCCATTTCCTGCGTGACCGTGATTTTTCCCATAATTCCGCTTCACGAACATGGCGCCTTCCGTTTTCTCGAACGTCGCCTTTCCGCGCAGTATACTCTTCTATAATTTTTATTCGAAGAATTTCCGGGGATGGTAATTCGTCCTCTAGACTCAATTGCACACCTGAAGTTTTCAAAACTGGCTGGCAGGCTATACAATAGCATTATCGCTAATAGATCTGCATTGATTTCTACATCCATGTCATTTAACTTGTCAACTGCATCGAAAAATGAGTTTAAATGACATCGTATGTCCTGTCCCTCTTCCATACGTTGCAGTGTAAGCTGTTTGAGCAATGTGGCCTTTCTAGCGGGTCCTTTTGATTGGTAAAATACCCTCCAACTTTTGCCACAGTTCCTTGGATGTATTACAGTTCTTTACCTGTTTGATTTCTGAGGGGCTTATTGACAAAATTATGTCCGACATCGCCTTGCTGTCACCTTTAGTCCAGGCTTCTACAGCTCTCGTGGATGCTTCGTCCCCATCATCTATCCGTGGCTGCTTTATCTCGCCAGATACATAACTCCAGTGATCGTTTCTTACCAGCAATGCCCTCATCTGTATTTTCCACGTGTCGTAGTTATCCCTGCTAAGCGAGTCTATACAGGATACTTTTGCCACACTCATGTTTGATAACACTAGTCACACACTTCCTATATTATCTTCAGCACTTGCAATAATTGTTCAATGTCCGTAGCACTGTCTCTGGGCACGTAACCTGTTGAGGATAGGTAAGCAGAGCAATTCAACTCGCAGTGGTCTTCGGTTCAGAACAGTTTATTCAGTACTTGTACATGAAATGGGTAGATAAGCTACAGGTGTAGACCGGGCTTCCGCGTTCCGCGATCCGCGCGCGTGTGCTGGCTGCTGTTGTACTTCGACTGCTTCCCAAGACTGACTCTTCACGACTGACTGCATTCCGAGGTGCGGCGCGCGGGGACAGGACGGCGGTTACAAGCTTCTAGGTTAGGCAAGGCGCGCACTGAGGTAGTGTGGTAGTGGTGAGGTATGGAGTGGTGAGAGGCATAGGGATGGTAAAATTTGGCGTGGCGATCGGAATAGCGGCGAAGTGGTATGAAAGTGATATAAAGCGCACTGAAGTGGCAAAGTCAGCTGACGTCACCGGTTTACCATGTCGTCCTCAGAAGATGAAGATGCCCTTTTATTTATGCAACTTGTTAATCTAAATGCTATAAGTCAGGAGACGAAGAAAAAACGGCATTGGGTTCATCCGCTGTGGCAAAAAAAGCCCGTTCTTGCACATGGATCATATGATAATCCTCCCGTGTATTGTCATACAGACAGAGATATGCCTCTACAAGGGCTACAAAATTAATGTTCAATTCGTGGTCGTATCGCATGATTCACTCCAGGAAAAAGTAAACAAAAACCCACATCGCGTCGTCGTCACCAACCGCTTGCCAGTCGAAAATTAAACTTGCTCGAGATTAGTGGCACCAGACTGACATCACGCCACCTAAAAATGCCACGCCACCGCTACTCCATTTTGATACGCCCGTCTTCATTTGTTTATATAGGCTTTAGCGATTCCACTTGCCACTTGATCACCGCGCCACTACCACGTCACTTGCTCACCATCTCAGTGCGCGCCTTGCCTTAGGCAACCTGTCTGGTCGTCTCGCCAGTAGCGGCGCGGCGGGGTGACGCTAGTACGCGTTCCAACATTATTATTATAATTATTATTATTATTATAATTACTATTATTATTATTATTATTATTATTATTACAGTTATTATTATTATTATAATTACATTATTATTATTATTAGAATTATTATTATTATTATTATTAAAATTACTATTATAATAATTATTATTATTATTAGTATTATTATAATTATTATTCTTATTATTATTATATAATTACTTTAATAATATAATATTAATAATATAATAAGAATAATTATAATAAAATTATAATGATAATAACAATAATTATAATACTATAATAATAATAATACTAGTAATTATAATTATAATAACAATAACAATAATTATAATAATAATAAGAAGAAGAAGAATAGCTATAATAATAATTATAATAATAATAATAAGAATAATCATAATATTAGTTTAGTTTAGTTTAGTTTAGTTTATTGACTACATTACATACATTATTGTACATTTGAAGTCACAGATTTTTGTATTTTAAATATAGTTACATAATTAATATAATCATCGACACTGTAAAAACACTTGTCTATGAGAAAGTTCTTCAATAGTCTATTGAATTTGTAGACATTCATATTTTTCACATCATGTTCTATGTAACAGTTCACAAATAAATTGTATAATGTGACATCCGGCTTGTTCAACTTGGATAAACGTAATCTAGAAAATGGAACTCTGATGTTATTTGCTGACCTGGTATCATGATCATGAACATCGGAATGCGTTACATATTTATGGAGGTTTTTATGAATATGTAAAAGCGTTTCATATATAAAAATGCTTGGTAGTGGTAAAATTCGATGTTTTCTAAAAAGTGGTTGGCATGGTGTGCCGTATTTCAAACCATCAATTATGCGAACAGCTGCCTTTTGGAGTGTGAACGCTTTGAAAGATCCAGAAGCGTTCCCCTAAAGGAGGGCACCGTACGACAACTGACTGTGGATTAGGCTGAAGTAAACTGTTTTTAGAATACGTTTATCCAAGTATTCACTCATCCGTCGAATTGCAAAGATTTGCGTGGATAACCTGGAACAGACGAGATCAATGTGCGGTGACCAAGTAAGTGCCGTATCCAGTTTAACTCCTAGGAGTTTGACAGGATCAGACGCAGGTTGACACTTGTCAGAGCTGAAAACGATAGAAGATGTTTTGGCGTCATTTAGCTTCAGTTTGTTCACCGAGAACCACTTCTTTGCCTGTTCCAAGCCATCAACGCTTAACTCCTGCTGATCCCTTGTTGATAACGTCGTGTCGTCTGCGAACATAAAACACAAACTGTGATCTATTGACGCCGGCAGATCATTTATGTAGGCCAAGAATAAAAGGGGACCTAACACCGAGCCCTGAGGAACTCCGTTATCAATAGGGAGCAGAGTAGAGTCGTAACCATTGCAACTAACATATTGTTTCCGGTTAGTCAAGTATGGTCGGAACAGATTTAATTCATCACCTCGTACACCGTAGTACTCCAGTTTTAGAAGCAATATACTAGTATTGACACAATCAAAGGCTTTAGTAAGATCGCACACAGTAGTAAAGGTTTTAAGACCATTATCCAGACCATCAACAACATATTCCACTAAATCAAGCAGCTCTTTGATTGTGGAGCTTCCCTTCCGAAATCCATATTGGCATGTGGATAGTAATGAATTTCTTTCGAAATATGATAATAGCTTGTCCTTTAGCAGGATTTCAAAAACTTTCCCTATGATGGGCACAATGGCTATTGGCCGATAATTACATGGGTCATTCGCATCACCCGATTTATGAAGAGGAAGAATCTTTGAAATCTTGAGCGAGTCAGGCCAAACCCCTTCAGAAATGCACTTATTGTAAAGAATTGAAAGTGGTTCAACAAGAGACTCAATAGCTCTTTTAAGCATTGAGCTATTCAAACTGTAGTAGTCCAAGCAAGGAGAGTTGCTAAGCTTGAGAATAGCTTCGGCAACATCAGACTCTACAATTGGAGCAATAAAGAAAGACATAGATGGTTTTCGGACCTTGTTCAGCAATGTAAGTGGGGCAACACTTTCATTGTCAATTGAGCATACTATATTCTTTGAAACTGTGGAAAAATATCTATTGAAGCTATCTGAAGATACAGTGGATTCTATATGATTGGACTTTAATCGATTACGTTCTGAATTAACTATTTGCCAAACTGTCTTGTTTTTATTATTAGTTGTCAGTATTCTTTTGGAATAGAAGCTCCTTTTTTCCAGTTTAATTGCTCGTTTATATTCATAGCGGCAGTTCCTGAAGGCTAGCCAATCTTGCTCTAACCTTATTGATCTAAAAATTTCCTTGTATCTAAATAATTGCTTGCGCATATATTTGAGCCTCTTTGTGAACCATCTCAAACCATTATTCGTATTATCAATTTTCCGCAAAGGAAAACAAGCATCAATTCCTAAATTTAGAGCATTGAGTATTGAATTTGCTAGATTAGCAGCAGTACGCGTATTACTCTCAGGAAAAGACCAGTCAAAATCGTGAAGCTTGCTGGCGAATAACGATAGCCCCTTGCTAGTAACGTTTCTTATCTTAAAAGAGCTACTACAACGGGCTTGCTTGATTGATCGAATGAACATGTAAATTCCACAATGGTCAGAAAGGTTTAGATTAAGAACACCGGTAATACGGCTCTCAATATCAATATTCGTCAGTATGTTATCCAGACAGGAGCTGGTGGAAGAAGTAATACGAGTAGGTTCGCTAATACAATGTGAGAGACCATATGATGAAAAGGCGTTAATAACGTCAGCAGCAAGATGCGAGCAGCTGGTAATCACCGAGTATGATTAGATTTTTATATCTAGGATACAAATAATCAATCATAAAAACTAGTTTGTCTTTGAATATGGCTATATCACCACAAGAGGATGACCTGTATGTGGTGATCACAGCCATATTTTTAGATGGGGCTGCAATTCCACAAAACTCTGCATGAAATGGTATACAAAAGCTGCTGAGATCAATATCTTTGAAATCTGAATGACTGTTAACCAAAATTGCAACGCCACCATGCGCATTGGCAGGCCTACAGTAGGAAGAAATAACAAAGTAACTATTAAAATTAATCGAATACAATTTATCATTGTTCAGCCAATGTTCCGATAAGCAAATTATATCAAAGGAACATTCACTCAACCACAAACACAGCTCATCTACTTTGCTAGATAAGCCTTCTTGGATGTTCAAATGCATTATTGAGAGACCATATGTAGTAGAACAGTCCTTATCTGCAGAATGAGAGGACATCTCACAGTTCTCTTGAACGCCGGCCATCTGCACCACGCTCTGATCTCTTGAAATCTCCTTTGGTATTTCTGGCTCGAAAAAATCGGTTCAACAGAACACCTGTAGGCCAGATGTTACTATCCATAATGGTGGAAGCTTCGTCGACTGGAACGGATACCTTGAAAGATGAGTACCTCTCGGGATATCTGGCTGTCAACCTCTCGACCTTTACATTTGGAGCAACTGCTTTCAAATAATCCGAGAGAACCTTTTCGTCTGTTTGTGGATCAAGGCGCGTTACATGATAGTGTCTGATAGATTTCGCTGTTGCAGCCTTTAAGGGACACTTTTGTAAACCAGACATACTACCTATTAGTAAATTTTTGGGCTTACGTTTGCCATCATCTACATTAGTTTCTTTATCAAAATCATTATTCAAATTTATTAAAGTCTTGCAAACACTGTTAGCCTTAGCGTTATGTATAGCTTCTGCGACTAGCGTTTTGCTTATAAGCTGTTTGTCGAAAGTAAGATCGCCCCTGTGCATCGTCTCTGAAATTGAAACTGGTGGTATCGCTGTTGTTACAGTATTCAATGTTGACGACGATGCCAGTATAGCCGCGGTAGCCGCGTTTGACTGGACTGATTCTGTTCTACCTGATGGTTCAGTTGCTGCAGCATAAGACTTGTTAGGTGTGAGGAACTGCTTCAAAAATAATAACTGACCACTCAGTGCAGCTATGGTGGTGTTTTGTTGTTCAATTTAAAACAAGAAAGAGTTATAATTGAATGCTGTCTCGGCCAACTGAAACGCCGGTTTCCTATCCTACAGTATATTCGCCGCGTAAAATTGGAAAATGTTCCGACAATAATTATTGTTTGTATTGTACTCCATAATGTTGCGACGAGCTTGGGCGATCCTGACTTTGATTTAGTTAAACAAGACCCAGACGAAGATGAAGGAAATCATGAGAATGACGAACTTCCTCTCCGCCAACTAGGTCAACAAATAATAAATAGTTTTACTGATTAAACTGTATTTATAAGTTATAATAAGTTTTATTTTTGTGAACGTCATAAGATACAGGTGGCTTCTGACGCTGCATCATTTCTTATTTCGTTTTATAATACTCTTGTTGTAAAATGCTTATTTGGTATTGCTGTAACAGCACTAGACGTTGCAGTTCTTTTGTAGTTAACCCTTTGGTTTCCTCAGTTTCGTATTTCTCTGGTACTAATTTTCTTTTTGGTGGCAATCTCTTCTGCATTGCTTGCGCTGTAATACCAACTGTTTGCTCACTGCGCTCGGTATATAGTTCACTTCCTTCTTCTTGAACACTACCAACCTGAATGGCACCTCTAATTTTCCCAATTGTAGGATTACAGTCACCTTCCATAGCTATCAGCAACTTTTTTTCCCAATCTAACAATTTAATTGCTTTATTACCAGTTTTTTTTTTTTAGTTCTGTTTTTTTTTCAATCTTGATTTCATGTTGTTGATTTTTTTAATAAGCCTTTAGTATCTAATGGTTTACCGAATGTTGATTCCTATTTTTTCAACATCTTCTTCTAGGCATCGTCCTTTCTCATTTTTATTTTTGGCACTTGTGACTTTTGGAAAATAATGGGAGCAATGGCAATTTCATCTGCGATGAACTGCAGGTCGTTGCCATTATTTTCTATAGTTGCCTCATAACTTGAGTATGACATGCTTATTAATTTGATAAAAAACTGCATCCAGTGAAAATACGGAACGGTCTGTGTAAGCTCTGGGGTACAACTGTCAGTGATGCTGAATGAGCGAACTCCCACGCCAACCACAAGCTGAAACAAGTCAGGACATGTCGCTCAAGATACAAATACCAGTCAACCTTTTACTTCTTCTTGGAGGATAACCTCGCAAGTATAAGGTAATCATTATGAATATGAAAACAAGGATATGCTTATACCTTATGCTTTCGAGGATATGCTTCTCTTTTATGAATACGGCTCATTATCTGAGAAAAAACTTAATTCACTATTAAACAAAAATAAGATTTGAGGCATACTTTGTTTTGATGCTTTGCATCCTAGTCTTGAGTTGTTGAATTTTATTTTCCTATGATCTATGGAGTACCAGCACATAGTGAAATTGTAAACTTAGCTATAGTTTATATACTTGGCTTTGATAAGATTACCTGACTGATTTCTGTGAAAACCCAAGACACCTTTGTAAGAGAACTGGTAGAGGTATGGGTTTTGCGAGTGTTTCACCAACTGCTCAGCGAACTTTAGCACAGATTTTACAAAATCATGATCACTCATAAGCTGAAAATAATCACCGAATTAAGTGAGCTTTCACATGAAAAGTAATAATACAGTCATACATATCACTGATCACAGATTTCATTGAATCACAGGAAATTAGATAACTTGACGGATTAAGATTCAGAAGCCAACAAGAAAAACTTAATAAATGTCTATTCGATGGTGAATTACGTACATTTATTCGTTTCTTGCAAATACAAAACTTCTTGTAGTTGTATCAAAGATAATATTGCAGTTGCATCACAAAAGTAGGTTGAACATTTCTCGGCCTGACAATGACAGACTGCGATGATTTTCAGTTGAAAAATGATTAGATTTTTTTACAGAATTCCCTTCGACTCGAACACACTTGATCCAACGTTTCCGACATAAGGATTCCTTCTCCGAAGTGGAAGACTGGTTGACAGTTGATCAAGAGTGTTGGAATAGCAGTTCCCCATAATTGTTGTTTCTGCCGTTTAGTGGTAACTAATCGCCATATAAAATCGGTCAGATTCATATTGAACTGGTCCAAACATTGCTGGGAAAGGCGCTTGCACATCCGCTTTTGATCAGCATTCAACAAATGCGGTATCCACCCTGTAGACCCTTCTCGTCCCCGGTTCCTTGAACAAGATGTCTTGAACTCATTGGAATTTCCATGTCATGTCAGGCCAAGGACTTTCCATTCCATCTTCGAATTGTATGAATTTTAGTAACATCTGGCAGAGTTGAAATAGTTTCGTGAAGATGTAATTTAGTTACACTAAATACTATGCAGGGTATTCGAAAAATAGACGGAGAGTGTGATTCCTTGTTATTTTTTTTTAATTGATATCGTAAAAAATATTAATTTGATTCTGTTGAAATTTGGCGATAGTATTTATTGTATGAAGAGGCTGATTTAGTCCTAAGTAGATAAAATTATTAGAACCAGTGACGTCCCGAGGGCATCTTGTGTCACGGGTCAAAATCAGGTAACCTTTTTTACTATTTATCACTTATCATTAGCTTGAATTTCTCTTCATTGATAATAGAGTGCCCATTCCTAGGCCAAACCCTCTTCACTGATTTTCTTTTGACAAATTTAATAGTTTATTGATTGTATATTTCACTATTATATCTTTCTTTCTCAGCGATTCAGTATGGCGATCAGCAAAAAACTGTAGATTTTCTCCGTTAGTTGGTTTCCTATAAAACATACAAGATCTTCTTCATGCCACTCAAGATACCTTTTTCTAGGACGTTACATGTGCTGTTTCCGTTGAGGTCGTGGTGCAGGGGTCGTTTCGTCATTTTCCAGACTCTGGGATATTAGGCCCCAAGCGCCAATTCATGGACTAGGACCCTTTTTTGTGTAACTTAAGTTTAGTCATTTTGGTTTGGGTTCTACGTCTTCCATTCTTTTATGGGATTTTGACCCTCAGTGGTAAGTTCTTTTTATATACCTTCGGACCACGTGCCTAAGTGCGTGTCCTGATGACGTTCATTCAATATCTGCTTTCTTTTAGTCAATAGAAACAGAAGATAATCATCATCCTTTCTCCTCCAGTTGGTTGCATCTTGTTGCAGTTTTGCCAATTGGTGGAAGCCATCCCCTTGGAAAAAAACCTGATGTGAACAGATAAAATGTCATTCTAATTTATAATTTCATAGATCTTTATACATTTATTATTGCTTATTGAAATTCTTAGAGACTTCTTGATTTTATTGGACATTCTACGTATTCAAATATGGGGGCAGTGCCTACGTAGCACCTTCTATTGCATTGATCATGATTTTGATTTTTGAGCTGCCATAACCATAGAAAGGGTATATTAGTACAGTACATTTTTATCTTTTTTGCCTTTACTTTACTTTTCTTGTCCAAAAAAATGTACATAGTTTTACTTCAAGTGCGATTGTTTTCAATGAGTAGTTTTATCTCAGACAGAGAGTAGAGTATATTTTTAAGCAGTCTTCCTCTCTTTAGGGTTTTTTTACTACCATAATGTTTGGCAACGAGGCAAGCAGCCCCTGCCCAGTGACGTGCCCACTACTGGCCACATTTTGACCAGAGTTGAGGACGTCTCGGCCGCGCCTGACAAAGAAGACCTACAGATAAGTTGAATATTTACTTCGGGCGTATACTACGGTAGACGTTTTGCGGGGTTATCTCGAAAAATAATTTTGTCAGGTTGTATTTAGGATTTATAACATCCTTTATTTTTTTTATTACTCGCACTTCAGTAGTGGTGCACATGTGCGTTTTTTTTTATTAATCAACATATTGTGATTCATTTGATATCTTGATTTATTTCGTCATCTCTGTTAGACTCTCCTTTTGTGTGTTCCAACTAACATCTAGGGGAGTTGTGGCTTAATCCGTCCTAAGTCACTGGCGCTCTTAACTCCCCTACTCTCCGCTTTATTGAGCTAGGGCCTGAATTTGCACGCCACCAGACAACTGTTTTGCTTGGACCAACCTTCATTGTGTTTTATTAATTAACCAAAAGAAGGCGTGGCACTTGGCGAATATTATTGGCAAAAAAATGTACGCCACTGCCTTTTTTGTAATTTTAATATTGGTTGTTTGATTAAGCATTTTCCGAGAAAAAAATAAAAACCGGTTTATTGCATGTTACTGGACAAAATTGGTTTATTAATTTTTGCTAAAAAAATCACAACTGTCTCGGAAAAACCAATATTGAAAAATGTGTCTTGTATTACAACAAATAATATTGGCAAATTTTGACAGAATGGAGCAAATATTTTTCCCGTATCTTGAAAACATGTTTATAGGAAGTTTTTTCATATGTTTTAACAAGGAATCATCCTCTAGAATATATCCGACTATTCTTCGTATTACACTTTTCCTTTTCATTGTTCAAAAGTTTCAACTGGCTAGATTTTACAAATATTTGTTAACCCTCCAGGGGTCGCGCGGCCTCAAACAACGTCATCGGTCGCGTGTATAGACGTTATCTAACATAAGGCGCGCAATTAGATTTTTTCTAAAAAGTTAATTTTCTATATTTTTGGAATAAAAGCAATATTTTTTAATTGGTATTATATATATTTTATTAAAAACAGAGAAAATAAGAATCTAACTATAGAATTAACTTTTATGTGTTATGATAAACAGAGGAAATAAGAATCTAATTCTCTTCTCCAACATCATTACATTCTTTACAAATAAAAATAGTTGATAAGGTATGCTCTTTACAGATAGGTATTTGACAGCGGTCACACTTATGTTGTGTAAATCTATTTTTCCGTGTTTGGCAATATCCGCACCTTGGTTTCTGCTCTGGATTCTGTGGGGGTGTATTTTTCTTTTGAATGCCAGTAATGTATCGAATTTTTTGTCCAAGAGAAAAAGAAATATTTGTAAGGGAAGCTCGTTTCATCATGTGTGGTCTTATAAGCTCTTTTGCCAAATATGTAATGAATGCGCGTCTTGGTATAGTTTTTCCTGTATTGCACTTGTATATAATTTGGGAATTTATAGTAGCTATATTTAGGAAGCTGCAAAATACGGTGAAAGGCCAACGATTACTGAAACGGGTGACAGAATATTCCGCCTTCATTTTATCCGCAACATCAACGCCTCCCTTCGTAAGGTTGTAAAAGGTTATTACCTCTGGCTTTTGCTCTCTCGAATCTGGATCTATGGTGTCACTATCATGAAACGTAGATAGCAGAAGGACGTTCTTATGCTTCTTAGGGATAAACGATGTTAGAGTGCATTTATTTTTGTCTACACCATTTGCGCACATAGTACTATGTATAGGCCGTGATTTAGTTTGTAGAAAGTCTCCAGGGATTTCCCGTTTATTTTTTCTAATGGTGCCCACATAAGTCATTTTATGGTTATGGTATAACTCGTTAGCGAGAGAAACAGATGTGAAGTAATTGTCCGCAGTAATATTTCTGCCCGATTTGTTTATTGGTTTTATAAGCCGTTTCACAACGCTTGCTGCATCATTAGCTAGTTGATAAGGGCCTAGAGCCTGCTTGCCCGCATAAATTTCCAAATTATGTACGTAAAATGTTCTGGCATCGGTAAGTGCATAAATCTTTATGCCATACTTGGCCGGCTTATTACTAATGTACTGACGAAAGCGACAACGACCTCTAAACGCTTCTAACATCTCATCTATAGTAAAATTCTGTGCGGGACTGTAACTACTAGAGCATTTGGCTACAAACATTTCATATATATTTCGAATAGGCGCCAGGTTATCCAGCTTTGATCGCTCTTCTCGACTATCTTTATCATCAAATCTGATTGCTCGCATAAGGATATGGAAGCGCTTTTGAGACATTGTTGCCAGAAAATAGTCTGATGCTGTACCATCTGTTGCCCAGAGTTCGCTCGTATTGAGGTGTTGTGCCCTTTTCACACCTGCTAGGTAAAGTAGACCTATAAACGCCATTATTTCTTCTAAATCTGTAGGTAAACAGTCTCTTGGACGTCCGTAGGAGACTCGCATTTGATCCAGTTTTTGATTTGTACTCTGAACTATAGTGTTGATCATCATATCCATGGGAAAAAATATTTTCCAGCAATCCATAATTTCTTTCGTTCTCTTCGCTTCTCCTATTACACCTGGAAGCTTGATCACTATATTTTGAACACAAGTTTTTGTTCGGAGACTAGGTGGTTTGTGTTTTAGCCATGGTGTGCCATCCTTTCCAGTGAAATGCGGTATTTGCTTCAAAGCAGATAGAGATAAAGGTAAACAAATATCCTCGTCATCAGAGTCCGAGGATTGCTCCGTATTAGTATCATGCAAACTGTGTTCAGAGGCAGCGTCATCTATGTCTAACTCAGACCCTACATCTGATTCAATTTCTTCGTACCATTGCTGCCATTTGGCTTCTGTTCTTGGTGACATCATATCTGGAAAGACCAATAATAAGTCTAATTATTGACGAAATTTGACCTGCCGTATATTTATTTACAAGACAAAATAAAATCTAATCAAAAATATGATAAAAATTATGTCAAGGAATTCATAGAAAACGTGAAAACATGACAGACATATCAAAATCATAATCATTCCAGTAAAATAAAAAAGTTTGACAAAGCAACGCCACAAAAAAAATGAGCTTTGAGCCCTTAGCAATATTTAAAATTATCCTTTTGTATTAGTTACGTGACAGTTCAACTTACCAAGATTATCGAAAAAATCACATACGGGATAGGTCGCACCGTTAGATTCTTCCTAACACTTTTGAACAACGTGATCGGTCGCGCGTTAGATATATACTAAAATTATCAAATTCAAGATGACTATTTACTTCATTTGCACGCGAATTATGCATAGATGTTGCCTAGCGACACCTATGAGGCATTCCAGGAGTCTCAAGGCTATAATACGAATTTTTAATAAGAACTCTGTAGTGAATTATATTTTGTTAGATTTTTTCTAACACCGAGACTGATGGAGGGTTAAGTACGTTATGCAATTATTTTCGGCCAGACTGCTGGTTGTGTGGCAGATGCGTAATTGTGTTGAAGTCGGGTTGCCGAGAGAACAACGCTTAACAGTTTGCAGCACTTTTTGATCAATTTTTGCATTGTGCTCAGAGTGGATTAAATATTGAGTCACATCTGATTATACGTACCGTGACAAGTTTCCTAGGGTTGTCCACATAGTTTCCTCCGGAAGTATAAAAGTTCATCAATTCAGCTTTGATGGTATCCTTATTCTCCTCAGTGACATGCATATCATCTGGTATTGAATCACGACTTTGTGTGAATATTTCAGATATGTAACCGAGACCTTCTTTATCTGTAACGAGAATGTTGTTTCTAAAATAATGGTATTTGTCGCCAAAATCATAAGAGTGCAGTACAAAGCTGCATATGCGAAGTTTGCTAATAGAAAAATGGCAAAGTAGGTTAACTCTGCACTTCACACGCAACGCTGCCACCTGTCCATAAATAACTACCGTAATCTTAGCAGGCTAATGCAGTGCTGTTTATTGTGGAAAGTCGAAGAACTGGATAATGGTTGGTTCATCCTTTCTGTCATATATAATTGAAAACCTACAAACGTTAGAAGCAGTTATTGAAGGCCGTATCGTCAGTCGTTCCTACAATTGTAGGACGCCTTTATGGTCTCCTTGGTTTCCATAGTCTCTTCTCTCCTTCAGAAAGGCTGGGGCATTTCTAGGTTTCTACTGTCCGTGTCAGCGTCAGTGCTCTCCTATTGTGAGACTATTGTTCTCTTTTTGAACTGTAGGAAATTTGAGGCTGATATAACAAATCAAAAACATGAACAATTTGCTGCAAATAGATATTTGTGACATAACCTCAAAATAGAGTGCTGACACGGAACAGTAGAAAGCTATGAAAATTGAGGAGGCCATAAAGCTGTCCTACAAATGTGGGACTGACTGACGGTACTACCCTTACTAAATTTTGTAGCACTCTGTGTCATGCATTAATGTAACATATATCTATTAGTGTAACACTTATCCTGTGGTTTATGTGTATAGTTGCCTTTCCAACAAAACAACATGTATTGACAGAATCTTCTTCGCTGTAAACGTTTCAATCACAAAGGTGATCTTATTTAGTACAATGACAATACATCTTATTTATCTGAATTTTAGTTGACAGTTCGTTTGTTTTTTCTTGGAATAATTTGACTTACTTGTCAGTAAGAAATGCCTCTATCCAATCTTAAAGCTTACCTCGTGCATCAAAATGCTCAATTTTTGTACATCAAATGTTTATGCGGAACTTTATCAAAAGCTCTTTCGTAAACAAGATATATTATATCTATGGGATTTCCTTGATCATACATAGCTGTACATGTCATATAACATCCATAGAAACAACTTGTTTTCGAAATTTATAGTTTTTTTGGAGATCGTTGGAGAACCCTGTATACTATCGAAATAATTCAGCGCAGAGCGCCATCTGTTACCAGAATCGACCACTGCGAGAGTATATATATATATATTGTTTGATGGCACAGTCACCATTATAACCGCTAGAGGCTGACGATTCTGGCGGCATAATAATGTGATCTAATAACTATTGAACAATATTAAGCATCATGCTACCGACCAAAGATACTGTCTTCGATAGAGAATAGTGGCTATCATTTTTCTCGCTGTCGCAGAGACAAAGCCTATACCATGCTGATGAGTTGCCAAACAGCACGAAACAACTATCAATGGTTGGATCTCTTGGGTCGGTGGGACAAAGTAGCTTGTTTGGTTTCCTGTATACTACCTGACTTACCTTCCATGAGGAAATAGTCTTCCTCGCTAGTAGCACCGAGTAATACTGGTACTTTATTGAAATCTCCCTCTTCCATAGCTTCGTATGCCTGTTTGGTCAAAACAGCACCATCGTGCTCGTGCTCGTATACCAACGCAAAGAAAAATCCTTGGTACAACTGTAGATAGCTTTTAGGATTCTGGAAGATAATAAGCATATGTGTATGGTGACTAAGTTGTACTTTATAGACCTGAACCGGGTCAGGTCATGTTGCAATTCTTGCAGTTATTCTAAGACGATATTATCTGGCGCTTCGTTTCACACCACCCCCAAATTTAAACCACATCGTATACTCTACTAACAAAATTTTTACATCATAGTAGGCGGATAACGTACCGTATGATAAATAAAAAAATATAATGCAATTATCACATTCAGTTCGACAGGGACGTCCTAGCTACAGCGCAATATTGCTAATTTATAGCACCCTGTATAATAACGGCTGATAGATAATATATCCATTCTGAATAAATTATCCTTGCTTGATTTCGATAAAATGAGCGTTGTTTCAATGACAAAAAAGTAAAACTCAATGAAGTGATCTAAAAATCGCCTGATATTTACCAAGAAGCCTCTCATTTCTCCTAAGAAGATTGAGTGAGATTGGACTGAACCCTCCACCTGAACAGTTTCAAGAAACATATCTCTACCTTTCATTACAGTGGACCCCCGATAATCCGGCCCCTGTCTAATCCGGCGCCCCTTGTCATCCGACATGTCTTTGAATGTTACATACATACATATTTGACAATCTTCGCTAATGATGATCGCGCAGGTTTGAACAGGTTTACAACTTGTACGCGCCACCGCTATCGTGCTCGACGCGTAAGCATTGTTTTACTTAGTTTGAATTTGACTACATGTGATAGCGGTACGGCCTAGCGTGCGTTCATTGTTTACTATTTATTCATTGTGTATTAAGTATAGTGTACCTAGTAATGTCATCACAAACTCAGAAGCGAAAGTACAAAACATTGACAATTAAAGAAAAATGTGATATTTTAGACCGCTTAAATCGCAATGAAACTTTCAGTAGTTTAGCAAGTGAATACGGAGTAGGCCGATCTACAATTTATGACATTAAAAGAAACCACGGGAAGATCAAGAAATTCGTGTCAACTACTGACTGTGGGCCAGGCAAGAGACAGCTGAACATCCAGAAGTGGAAGAAGTTTTGTACATGTGTTTCTCCAGGAAGAAATAGGCATGCACCAATTTCAGGACCCATGTTGGCCATGAAAGCTAAGTTTTTTTATAAGAAAATAACAAAAAAAGATGATTTTGTGGCCAGCAAATGATGGCTAGAACGTTTTAAAAGTCGTCATGGCATACGTTTAATGACTATTACAGAAGAGAAACTTTCAAACGATGCCACCTGCATAGAGCCCTTTAAATTAAGATTTTTGCAAAAGGTGAACGATTTAAGTCTTGACCCGTCACAGGTGTACAATGCAGACGAATCAGAGCTTTTTTGGCGTGTGATGCATACAAAACTTTCGTTTTTTGTAACGAAAAATCCGTACCTGGACGAAAAGTACGTAAAGAGCGTGTAACCATACTACCATGTGCTAAAGCTGCGGGCACACACGCGCTTAAGATGATGGTCATTGGGAAATCTAATAAACCACGGGCATTCAAAAACATTGATTTACCTGTACACTATTACGGACAAAAAAGTGCATGGACGACAAAAGACCTTTCCAAAAAGTGGTTTGATGAATGCTTCGTACCTGAAGTTAGAAAATGGTTAAATATCATAATTTCCTCAAAAAGCGTTGTTGCTTCTTAATAACGCTCCCGGTCATCCGTCTGAAGAAGAACTAACATCTGAGGATAAATGCATCACTGCGATGTTTCTTCCGCCAAATTGCACTGCACTGATTCAACCAATGGACCAGAATATCACTCAGTTTGTCAAGCAAGACTATAAGAAAAACCTACTTCTGAGAGCCGTATCAAAAGACCAACCAATAGAAAAAACATTAAAAGAATCTAATATTAAGACTTGGTTTTTGCTCTTTGTCAGTCGTGGAATGCGTTACCGTCATCAACTATTAAATCGTCTTGGAAAAAGTTTTGGCCAGATATAGTCACAATCCTAGCAACGTCCACAAATCAGTGTAACTTCGGAACTGAAACACAGATAAGTCCGGAAGATTTGGAAATCTGGTGCCGTGGAATGGAATAAAGAGGAAAATGTTTTTCATGAAATGTCTGACGAAGAAATTATAAAAGAGGTTTCTAATTATACAACAAACAATCAGGAAAGTAACGACTACGTGATTGCAACTGCTCCACAAGTCACAGCACAAGACGCAATTAACGCTTTTGAGCTAGGTTTACAAGTGGGCTGAAGAGAATGGTACATCCTACAACAAGCTTTTACTTTTGAGAAGACTGGAGGACAAAGCTCTGATCTCGCGTTATAACAACCTTAAACAAAACAAAAATTGATGAATATTTCCAAGCTTCATAATTTGATAAATTCAATAATGATTACATAAATTCGTAAATTGCTCTCTATGGACCTCTACCGTGTGAGGCCTAAATTAGTTATATGATGTTAAATTTCGTTGGATTATACTATCTTTTCCTAATCTTATTGTAAGTCTCTTAGCCTACCGTTGTTACTATCGCCAAGCAAGCATCATTAATTATCTCTGTTGGTATGTTTTGAGAAACTCGTAAATAGTTTGAGAAGTATTATATTATGGTAGTTTGCAGGATCTATATTTCTGATCAATTCCTCGAATATAACTGGTAGTTCCTTTGGTACGCCCATGGACTTAGCGATGTCCCACTGAGCAAGATTGCGCTTCTGAACAAACCTAAAATGTTAATAAAAAAGCGATAATAGAGGAATGTTTCAGCAATCAGGGTGGTCCCAGAAGTATCCGTCTCAACGAAGAAAACACAAAATTTTTATAAAAAAATGTATTTATTTTTCAACATAATCTCCTTTGAGCTCTATACACTTTTCCCAGCGATGTTCAATAAGTTCGATACCCTTTTTATAATAAGATATCAGGCTCCTCAAAATAGCCATTAACTGCCGACATCACTTCTTCATCGTCAGAAAATCTTTGACCACTGAGCCATTTTTTCAAGTTTGGAAACAGAAAATAATCCGAGGGGGCTAAATCTGGTGAATAGGGTGCATGAGGTAGCAATTCAAACTTTAATTCGTTAATTTTGGCCATTGCAATAACGGATTTGTGAGCTGGTGCATTGTCTTGATTAAACAACACTTTCTTCTTAACCACATGCGGCCGTTTTTGCTTGATTTTATCGCTCAAACGTTGTAATAAGTTAATAATAGTCAATGAAAATTATCCCACGCGCATCCCAAAAAACCGACGCCATAACCTTGCCTGCAGATGAAACGGTCTTCGCCTTCTTTGGAGCCGGTTGTCCCTTTTGAGTCCATTGTTTTGATTGTTCTTTTGTCTCGGGTGTGAAGTGATGGACCCATGTTTCATCCATGGTTATGAAACGACGCAAAAATTCTTCTTTGTTGCTGTGAAACTTCGCTAAACACTCAATTGACACATCTTCACGGATTGTGAGCAATCGCGGCACCCATCTTGCACACAGCTTTCTCATGTCCAAATTTTCAGATAATATGCGATGAACCTCACTTTTTGAATGCCTACTATGTCTGCTAGCTCGCGCACTTTCAGTCGACGATCATCCAGTACCGCTTTGTGAATTTTCTTCACCATTTCTGGAGTCGTCACCTCATTTGGTGGACCCACTGCGATGCTCGTCTTGGCAGCTCATACGGCCTCGTTTGAACTCTGCTACCCAATATTTTACTGTTGTAAACGAAGGAGCAGACTCGCCCAGAGTAAATCCAGTTCAGCTTTTATATTGGTTGGGCTGAGGCCTTTGAAATAAAAGTATTGTACCACATAACGATTACCAATTTTCTCCATTTTTACAAATTCACTGAAAACGTTCAGTATTAATGGCTGCCAAATAAATACTAAACAACGTGGCGTCTTCAAACTTGACACATATGCTTTATAGGTTGCATACTTTCTAATACAATGATATTTTTCAAACAACTATCGCCATCTCTAGGTCAGGCCGGGTACTTCTGGGACCACCCTCGTATGTTATGAGACAACAAATAACAGAAATTTCAAGAATATTGTTTTTTCTTCTTTATGTCAGTACTATCTATGTAGAATGGTCGGTTTCAAACCGGTCGTTTTCTCAATATGCCCTATAACTTCACTGGTACAAAACTTAACTTATCCCATATCGTTGTACCTTTAGATAACGGACTCATAATCTGATAAGCACAAGAAGCAGAGCCAGCACTCTGACCAAAAATTGTAATTTTGGTTGGATCACCACCAAAATGATGGATGTACTGATTGGCCCACTTTAAGGCCAAATTCTGATCTTTCAATCCAGCGTTTCCAGGTACCAAATCATCTCCAGTCGAAAGGAAACCTGAAAGTTATTTTTGTTGTTAAATGTCTGAGTTTAAGTAATGACCAATAAAAAATAACCACAAACCACATGTTCTTACAGATATCAGAGGTATACCGGCTTTTTTCAACAGCTCAGCTGGCATTTCGTCAGCTCCAGTCAACTATCCATCTTTAAGCTCCTGATTGATAAATTTTACTTTTACATTCCGAAGAATATCGCTGATTCGAAAAAAATTTACGTCACAGAATAAGCAAAATTGAACCTAATCTGCCTCATCGTATTATGCAAAAAAAAACATGACTATCTGGGGGAGCTTCTGCCAGACGTAATATTAGAAAAAAGTCTGCACATCTGGTGCTTAATTAAAATAATAAAAACATTTATTTTTAGTCCAGGGAAAGGTCTGCAGGACCGGAACACGGATTTTATCTAGAAAAGTCTTGTGTATAGGTAATAACCTCTCAATTGATGCTCAACAGTATTTCGTCCGATGAGCTTTAGTTTTTCAGATGTCGGAGAATGAAGAACGTCATTGTGATTTAATTACCCTCAAAATACTGTTTTTGAAGTCATGGTGTTGCGTATCTGGTTTATTTTAATGAGTTCTAGGGCAACCCTACATCTCATTTTTCATATAACCTTTTTCACGTTTTAGAATATAACTGACCTGACTAAGTAATACTAAAAAACGCCCGTTAGAGAAGAGTCATTGATCAGCCCTCCTCTCAACAACATCGAACATAGATAATGTAGTCGGGACTGCACTACCCCAAAGATGTGAGCAATACTCGAGGCTATTATGTATGCGTCGAAGGAAGAGACCAAACCAAAACAGTGATCATCGCGTGATTATTGCGTGATCAGTACACTGATATATTTCAAGAGAGATAACTGTTATTGGGCAGAATAGCTCGACCCCTTACACAGAACCAATGGCTAAACCGGAGAATGGAGTGGGGGAACCGTGCATGCAGTCTGGCCCCAGTTGCCGGCTGTAAATGCTATAGTATATATATATATATGTGAAAAGTCGAAATTTGGGGAGATATGTAAGTTCTCCAATTCCCATTAATTAAAATATAGTTTATTCAACTGCCTCTGGTCGGTTTAACAATTTCTTACATAACATTCTGAAAATCACATCATCTGAAGTGATTTGGCAACGGTTGGCACACGCCCACAATGCGTTCCATCTTTCAACACAGACATTGACAACCTTCGGCCTTCTGTCAAAGGTTCATCTCACTCATTATTCCATGACCACCATTTTGTGCAATCATCAAGTGGCTTCACGACGTAATGCTCTAATGTTTTTTAAATAATTTTTAATCTGTTTTTAACTTGTCTTGTCATATTTTATAAATTTTTGACCATTGTACCATGTATCCAGCTCTCACCATGTTACTGGACGTTTCCCTCATCCTATACGTAAACAACAATTAGCAACATCGTCACATACTACTGTAAGTTGAGTCAATTTAAATTCATTTTACACTTTTGTTGCTACTGTTATCATTGTAATTGCAGCTCCTGATGATGATGGCAAAGTCCATTGAAAGCTAGAGAGAATTAAAAAAAGTATAAAGAGTCCTCTTTGCTTAAATTTTGTCGAAGTACCCAACAAAAGGCGAAGCTTTAATTTTTCACCTAACTGGTCTAGACGACAATGACCACGTCTTAAGTTATATATATATAGCTTTAATTTTTCACCTATATATACAGTACAGAGTTGGCATCAGATTTATACTGGTATTACAGTGTGCTTATTAGATTTGTCAGTTTATATTTGTAGAACTCAAAATGTCGCATACGGATACAGCTGATGAAGTTGTTGATATTAACTGCACACACCTAAAAAAGAGCTAAAAGGCTTCATTTTCGCGTTAGCGTATCGTATATATTATTATGTATTCAAATCATTTTTCTTTCAACTCCACCTATATTTTTTTAGTCTAATATTAAAATTAACTGTTTGCACACTGACGTCAATGTTCAAGCGGTGATTAGGTTCTTGTATCCATATGCAATTATCGTTTTAATGTGTCAAGACATTTTTTAAAAACCTGCTTTATAAATGCGTCTTACGACACATTTCGAGAATAATTTCTTGATGAAACACTTCTACTAAAAGCAACAATAGACAAGTGTTTTCTTTATGGTCATGACAGTTAAATTAAAAAAATACATTAATCCCAACCTTATGTTTGGACCCTATACATGCCTGCAATAACTTTTTATTCTCAGTTCGGCCCTATAACGTGCTCGGCGTTCTGGAGCGCGATCACGTGGAGTATACGTGAATATGTTTTGGTTTGGTGTCTTTCTTCGATGGTTACATAATAGGTCTTATCCAGGCTTTGTCCAGGGTTATAAGGTACTGCTAAGGGGTTCCAAAAGTCCGCCGTTTTTTTACGTCAAAATTATCACTCTAATGTTGAGTTTGCTACCATGATCCACGAGGGACTTTTTGAAAGTTCCTGTATAAAAAACTCAAAACAGGAATGATTAAAAATATATGAAAAACAATATGTAACATCAATTAGGCATGTAACTTAAAATAATAAATATAATCCACGCCATGAGTGGATAAAACCAGTATTTTGCAGCGTTATTAAATTGGTCAGTTTCTCTCGAACTGAAGTGCTTTGGACGAAATGCTAATAAGTGATGTGGGAGCTCAAGACTAGGGATGCACAGAGTATTCGGTTTGTACCCGGTAGCCTATTTTCTAGAGTTTCGCCGA